TGGAAGAGAACAAGTGGGGCAGGGAGGGGGTGGTAAGGAAGGAAGACAGACAAGAAAACAAAGCTTACAGACATGTGCTATGCAGAGATCCACAACAGACTAATGTGATAGAAAAGGTCTGGGTGGCTTCTTTAGCTTGGGACATCAGAGAAGTCCTCTCCAAAGAGATGACATTTGAACTGACATTTTACAATGACAAGAGGGAGAACTTTCCACGCAGATTAGGGTAAAGGTCCAAAGACAGGAAGGAGCTTGGCATGTTCCGGAAACAGAGAAAAGGCCACTGTGACTTGAACATGGTAACAGGGAGACTGATCAGAGACGTTGGCAGGGACAAGATCGTGCAGGGCTGGGGCTGGCCAGTTAGCTCAGTTGGTTAGAGTGCAGCCTTATAACACCAAGGTGATGAGTTTGAATCCTCATACCAGCCAGCCACACACACACACAAAAAGATCATGCAGGGCTGCGTAGGCCACTGTAAGAATCATGCATAGGAGAGTTGTGGCCCTTGTCGATACTAGTTGGGAATACTGGTTAGGAGGCTACCACAGAGGTCTGGGCAGGAGATGATAATGGTTTGGACCAAGGTGTGCAGTAGAGAATGAAAGAAGGGACTGGATTTGGAATGTGACTTAGAACCAGAGTCAACAAAACTTGCCAATGTATTGGATGTGAGGAATGAAGGAAAGGGAATAATCAGAAATGATACCAAAGGTTTTGGCTTTGAGCAGCAAGGTAGCTGGTGTCTGAAATGAGGAAGACTGAAGGCAGAGCCATTTGTCTCTTCACTAGCAGACATAACTGACTAACCATGAACTCACATTTTGAGGTCCAATAAATGCCCTCACTACCCACCCCCACAACGTTACATCACTGGGCATATAGCATTTCCATGGCTTCTCCCTTTTTTTAGTGACATCAAAAGCATCACATTCAAGTGACCTAACCAATATCCTGCCACATCCCTCATGGATGCTCTGTAAATGTCCAGTCTTGTCCAAGCTCCTCAGCACAGCGCTGGGGTGCCCTGGGCCCAGAGATCTGCCCATTGGTCAGTTTACAGCTGGCATGTACTTCTAACGTGTATATGTATAACGTGTATATGTATATAGAAAATAATATGACTAGTTTTCTCGTTTTCCTATTTATAATCAGGAAAATTTTTTGTGACCTCTTTAATAAAGATTAAACTTAATTATTCCAGTTGTTTCTTTTTTTTTTTTTTTCCTTTTTGTCTTTTTCCGTGTCTGGCAACGGATCGCAACCCTCAGTGTCGCCCCCGTACTGGACCGGGACCAGCAACGGGATCGCAACCCTCGGTGTTGCTCCCGCGCCTCGCTCAGCCAGCGAGCGGGAACCGGTCTACATGTGGGATCCGAACCCTCAGCGGGAGCGCCGCCGCACTTCCCAAGCGGCGCACTATACCAGTGCGCCACCGGGCCGGCCCCAGTTGTTTCTTTTTTATAAGGCTATTTCCTACATTTGCTTTAAAAATATTAGAGGGACTTAAGTTTTTTTGTCTATACAATGAGAATAACAATATAGTCATTCTCCATGGTTATTTTGTGAGGAGTAAGCAAAATAATGTATATAAAGTGCTTAGCACAGTAGCTGCTATATGTCATTCAGTAAACTTGAGGTATTATTATTATTATTATTATTAATGAAATAGTAATTTGGGAGCAGGGGTAGCTCCCAGAACCAATACTCTGATTTTAGTATTCAAATGGATCCATCCAAAAAATAGCAACACACTGGTTTACTAAATCCCTGCATGACTTTAGACAAAACTGACAGTTTTCATTGGATTTCAGTTTTCTCAAGTAAATGAGAGACCTAGGATAGATAACCTCAGTTTTAAAACTTCTGTGATTCTAGAAGATGATCTATATTTTCTCTCCAATCTTCCTTTTACCAAGCTTAATCACAGTCTTCTCTTTGGGTCAACTAAATCACTGTAAGTGATATTTATTACCAGATGTGACCTTTTGTTAGCACATTGGAGAATCCCAACGTTAATATCACTTTCTATAAATATAGATTCAGGGTGAGGAAATGTTCTGTCTCTAGAGAAGTTTAGCTATCGAGAATCTTTCTCTTTTTAGACTCTCGGTCGGTCGGTGGGCCATGACTCACTGTTGACATGCTTCCCCAGTCTCACTTTTGTTACCTTCTTCTTTCGTGATCACTGATGCTGGCAGCCACCTACAATTGTGAAGTTCCCCACTCAGTCTTCCTTAGTGATTGGCATTGCATTTGAGTTGTGTTTTCTTACTTCCTCTACCTTTTGAAATTTAAAAATAGAAAATAAGAAACAAACCACAGTCTACATCAGCTGAACTCTGAGTTATTCATCTAACAGATTTTCCAGTGAATTCTGTGGTATAATATCTACAGGCAAAAATCTGCCATCAGGGCTGGCCCCGTGGCTCACTCGGGAGAGTGTGGTGCTGACAACACCAAGGCTACGGGTTCGGATCCTATATAGGGATGGCCGGTTTGCTCACTGGGTGAGCGTGGTGCTGACAACACCAAGTCAAGGGTTAAGATCCCCTTACCGGTCATCTTTTAAAAAAAAAAAAAAAAAAAATCTGCCATCAGTTCAGAATAAACCTTATGAGAAATTGACGAAGAGCTACTTTTATTTTTTCTGTCAAACACGCATGGTCAGAAATGGGAGGCTGCAGCCCTCAGGGCAAGGCTCTGATAAGTGAATCTGAGACAAAACGGTTCTTGGCCTTCTCCTCGGTTTTTCTCCTTACCTGTCCAACTTCCCTGAGCCATTTTGAGGAGTCATTAGATTGAGAAAAGTACTCTTCTAAGAGTCTAACTCCTGCACCATGAACACCAAAGAACAATCCTGGGAAGCATGAAAACCTTTCATAAGTGTGAACAACATTATTTCCAGAGACCCCACCCCACATCATAGCAATTAAAATGTGGCACTCTTCATAGTAAATATAATTTTATTCCTGACAGATTTTCTCAAAAATATTTTTACAATTTTGCTTGGGAAATAGGTTGGCTTCAAGTAACTTATTTAGTTTAAAATTGGCTATTTAGTTTCTCAGCAAATAGCATACTTGGGAATTTTTATTAAGATAAAAAATAAATCCAGCCTATATATTGCTTCTAAATGAAATATTTTGTATTAGAAATCAATAATTAATGTGGTACTAGTCTACTAACAGAAAGTGAAACCTCTACCAAAAAACCAAGTAATTGGAGGCAGAATCCCTGGGTTCCAGCCATTAATTCACTGAGTGGCCTTGACCAAGCACTCCATGGCCCTTTTCCTGCCTAGTGGCACTTTTCCAGAGACACTCCTGGCCTAGGTGAAGGCCTGAAGTCACCATTTCTGTGGAACTGAAAGCTATGCAGAACCATTTAAACCAGAGACAGGGTTTCCCTTTCACACATTAAAAAGAAAGCAATTTTTATGTCTCTATTATTTTGCCAAAATGAAAGAAGGACGGGAAGGGAGACGAGAGTAAGGAAGAGAAAGGGAGGAGGACTGCATCGTCAACGCCTGTGTTGAAAAAGCTATTGATCTTTGACTTCTGTTCAAAATGACAAGTATGCCTTCTATGGAAAGAAAGGCTTCCACGTGAGATATTTGCTTCCACTATCCCATTCGAGACTTGCCTGTCATCTGTTTTCTCCTCGGTGAGGGGCAAGTGTGATGCAATGAAAAGAACCTGGATTTCAGAAGCAGATAGTGCTGTGTTCCAAGCCGGCCCTCCCACTCCTCCCTCAGCAGTTCTCCAAGTGTGGGCTGGGGACCCCTAGGGTTCTCCAAGGGCCTTTCAGGGTGTCCATAAGGTCAAAACTGTCTTCATAATAATAGTATTATGTCATTTGCTTTTTCTTTCCATGAGTGAATTTTTCCAGAGGCTACATGATAGGTGATAATGTGACAGATTAAATGCATACACAGATATCAAAATCCAACTGTCTTCTATTAAGCCAAACATTAAAGATATTTACAAAAATGGAAAACATTGTTACTCTTCTCACTGGTTTTTTGTTTTTTTGTTTTTTTGGTTCTGGAAAATACAATTATTTTAAATTTTTTTAATGTTTATGTTAACATGTAATGGGATTGTTATTATTATTATTTTTTTTTGTCTTTTGTCTTTTTCCGTGTCCGGCAACGGATCGCAACCCTCAGTGTTGCCCCCGTACCGGACCGGGGACCGGCAACGGGATTGCAACCCTCGGTGTTGCTCCCGCGCCTCGCTCAGCCAGTGAGCGGGAACCGGTCTGCATGTGGGATCCGAACCCTCGGGCGGGAGTGCCGCCACACTTCCCAAGCGGCGCACTTATCCAGTGCGCCACCGGGCCAGCCCGGATTGTTATTATTTTTAAATGAACTAATAAATACATTTTTTAATTCCTCAGTCTTAATGTCTAATATGGCAAATATTGATAAACATAACCCACATAAAAGAAGTTCTTTAGGCTCCTCAAAAATGTGTAAAAGTACAAAAAGGTTCAAATCTATGACCCCCTAAGAAGTCTGAGAACCCCTGCACTACCTAATAGTAATTGCCATTTATTGATTGTCTCCTTGTGCTAGGAGCTGTGCAAAAGCACAATATGTTCTTCATCTCTTCAAATCTTTGCAACAAAGCTATACAGTAGAGGTTTTTAAAAGGAGTGCTTGCTCACCCAGGGTCTCACAGCTGTACATGAGAGAATAACCAGGTGTTCTGACTCCAAAGCCACGCTCTTGATCACCAGGCAGTGTTCTCTCACAAATTATTCTCTGTAATTTTGAAAGTTTTTTTTACTATTCTGAGCCTCAGTTTCCTTATCAAAAATGGGCAGAATCAGGTACCCTGCAGTTCTTTTAACAGCTTCTGCATCCATGTGCCTAGCACAGGAAGTAACACCAAATAGACCCCAAGAAACGATTAGCCTCCCTTTCTTCCATTCCTTCCTTGTCTTAAACATGATGTTAGACCAGGGAGGCTCATAAACTTCCTTCTTTCCTCTAGATGGTCTTCAGTCAGACAGAGAGGCTGATGGAACAGAAGGGACTGATGAAGACATGATTGTGACCCAGAGTCAGACCAACTTCATCTGCCCCATCACACAGGTACCACTTCCTCCTTCTGCCCCGAAAGAAAAAGAATTTGCTGCACAGAGGCAAAAAGTTTCCTGTTTGCTTTCTGATTTGATTTTACATTTGGAGCTAAGGAGGGAGGGAAAAAAAGTGATAAGGGTTGAAGAGTATACATGGGAGCTTCTTGGACTGGAAAGAGCTTTCAGTCAATCATGCCCTTGAGGGTCTAGGAATAAATTTATGGCCTACAGGCCAAGTGACACTGGTGCCACTAGTTTCACTGTATTTCCTTATCTAAAGCTTAAGTAATTATCTAAAGCCATGAGAGTGGGAAGTTAAACAGAAAACCCAGGAAAAAACAGCTACTGGAAGTTGATTGTTATCACTCCTGAGAGCCTAATGTCTCCTTGATTATAGCTGGAAATGAAAAAGCCGGTGAAAAATAAAGTGTGTGGCCACACCTATGAGGAGGAGGCCATCGTTCGCATGATCGAGTCCAAGCATAGGCGGAAGAAGAAGGCCTGGTGAGTTGACGCAGGAAGGAAGTGGAGCCAGTCAAAGGTGGTGGTCAGGCAGAGGTGGGGGGTTCACGCCAGAGGAAGAGGTGCTTAGGAGTCTCCCCTCAGTTGCATCCACCTCCCGAGTACTGTACACATGGAAACTGGCTTCCTGGAAGAACAATCCATGAGGGAAAAATTAGCAATGTGTTCAGGAAGCAGCTGGAGGAACTTTAACCACACCTTCAAAAGAGAAGAAAAAGAATTGAGTTGTATTTTAATCATTAGGTGACAGGATTTTTATGAATCTGTACTATTTTAAAAAATAGCCTCAGGAAAATGAAGGAGAACTGTGATTCTTTTTTTTTTTTGTAAGATGACCAGTAAGGGGATCTTAACACTTGACTTGGTGTTGTCAGCACCACGCTCTCCCAAGTGAGCCATGGGCCGGCCCTAGAACTGGGATAGTAAGAGATTTTCTCACGCTCTTTATATATACACATATCCAAACAAGAAGGAATCATGATTTTTTTTTACTTCCTACAATACAAGTAATCTGTTTTAAAAGTATTAAGTAACATTCTAAGATAAGAATTTACATCCGTTGGTCTTGATGGTTAAGATTTAATTGTCAGGGAAAACCTTTCCTATATTTAATTACTGAAATAACTTTCCAAAAGGTTTTTTTTTTTTTTCTTTTTTGTGATCGGTAAGGGGATCGCAGCCCTTGGCGTGGTGTCGCCCACACCACGCTCAGCCAGTGAGCGCACCAGCCATCCATATGTAGTATCCGAACCCGTGGCCTCAGCGCTCCCAGCGCCGCACTCTCCCGAGTGAGCCACACTGTCGGCCCAAACTTTCCAAAAGGTTTAAGTAAATTTATAGGTGACTGACCAATGAGAAACTATATTTTTATTTATTTATTTTATTTTATTTTTTAAAGATGACCGGTAAGGGGATCTTAACCCTTGACTTGGTGTTGTCAGCACCACGCTCACCCAGTGAGCGAACCGGCCATCCCTATATGGGATCCGAACCCATGGCCTTGGTGTTATCAGCACCGCACTCTACCGAGTGAGCCACGGGCCGGCCCGAGAAACTATATTTTTAGTTGGAAGCTTTGCAGAATCTCATATGAGGGTACTTCAAAAAGTTCATGGAAAGATTTGTATTATTGTCTATTTTTCCAAGAACTTTCTGAAGTACTCTTGTGTGTGTGTATTCCCTTTCTCCCCCGCCCTCCCTGACCACAGAGGACTATGGCTCTGTTCCTGTAATAACACAGTCCTGGTTAGCTAGACTGATTCTGACTTTGACTCAATTTGGCATTTCTCTCTTATCACAGATTTGTTGCAGGAATGGAATTGCAGGTGTGACCAGTTCTCAATAGACTTCTGATAACAGTCTCTTTGATGTGTGGCTTACTTCTTCAGGGCCCAGAAATTTGCTGGTCTGGACCTAGAGTTGGAATTCCCCACCACTCCTCATCTGGGTGTGGACTTAGAGATAGGGTATTTGAAAAGGTAGAAATCTTGATGGTCATTCAGTCAAATTATTTACCCTATTTATTTACCTGGTTTTGTAGCCTAATGGTTACAAAATGTAGACTATCATTAGTACTTTTTTATCTGTTTTGAGTTTCCAACTTATAGTTGAAATGTCATATTTCCCTAATGAACCTGTCATTTTCCCCTGTGGATATAATTTCCTTTGCTTCTAGACTTTCAAGCCTTCTCTTTCTACTAACTTTTTTCTGTGTTCATTCTCTGAAAAGCAAAAAAAAATTGTTAATATAATAGCTAAAAAATAGTTATTCCTAGTTAGTTCTGTTTTATAGCTCTTCTTTCTGAAAGCATGTAATATTCTCCCAGAGTCAGATTTGGAAAGGGTAGGTTCAGATACCAAGCACGTTTCTCACCACAACTCCCAGGATGGGTGGCAGCTACCCCCAGAATAGGCATCACATTTATATGGATCTTAATTACATAATTTGACTTTCTAATGTCCTTCACCTTTTTTGAATTGTACATGATATTGCACTAACACTTTTCCTTTAGAAAAGTTATTTTTTTCTGTCATACTTCCAAAACTTAAATGTCTGAAACTTCGCAAATTCTCATAGCTTAATAATAATCAATTAAGTCTTAAGTGGAAGAAGTCTGGCAGATTTATAGAGAAGGTAGTATTTTTACTGGGCCTTGAAAAATGAGAAGGATTACAGAGAATGGTGAATTAGAGTCTTCTAGCCATAAGCCTCACCCATTCAGGCCCTGTTCTACTCGGTGGCTGGAAGTACAGGTGCAGTTATGTACATTAGAGGGAGAATAGAAGGATGCAGTGGATAATAAGAATAGGAAAGTAGTGTAGAGATTCGCTATAAAAGGCATTAAATGCCATGATTTCATTAGTTTCCTCAACTGTAAATTGGCAGTAGTCGTGATTGTCTCACTGGTATATTTGAAGTTTGAATAAGATATATGTAAAGTACTCAAAGTACCTGGCACATGGTAATACTCAGTAGACATTATCCCATTGTCAACATCTTTGAACTTGAGTCACCACCATCATCCTCACCACCCTTCCCACTGCCATTGATCTCCAGATATGGAAGGACATGGCAGAGTTTGAGAGAGTAAACCTGGAGTTTAGGAAGTTACTCCAATATCAATGCAAGAGATGGATTAAATAGGCATGAGATGAAAAGGTCAATCAGGATGCTTTTGCAGTAGGTTAAGTTCTACATAATGAGAGTTTAGACTAAGGAAAGAATGGTCATGGAAGTGCAATTGACAGATTTAGGAACTGAGTGAGTATAGAAGAGAGGAAGAAGAGGTGATGGATGACTGACATTTCTAATCTAGGTGTCTAGAAGGATGGTCAGTACCTGTCATGAGCTACAGAAAGGTCATAAGAGAGGAAGACATTTAGAAAGGATTATGAGAAGCTCATTAGGTCATGCTAAGCTTGAGATCCCAGCAATACCGACATTTGGAAGTGTCCAGGAGGTGCAGACAATGTGGGTTGTGAACTCCAGAGAGGACTCTGAGCTAGTGATGTTGATTGTGAGGCTGTCAGCCTAGAGGAGTCAGACCCACTCTCCCACTGTCATAGACACAGCTCTGGAATGGATGCAATTACCAGTGGAGAGCCAGCTAGACAGGACCTTGGCCTGGCTCCAGTCTCCACGAGGACAGGAGCCAGCTTTGCTCTGCTCACTGTGAGGTCCTCAGCATCTGACACAGAGCTGATATTTAACCTCAAAATAGCATTTTTTTTTTCCTTTTTGTCTTTTTTCGTGACCGGCAACGGATTGCAACCCTCAGTGTCGCGCCCGTACCGGACCGGGACCAGCCACGGGATCGCAACCCTCGGTGTTGCTCCCGCCCCTCGCTCAGCCAGTGAGCGGCCGGTCTGTATGTGGGATCCGAACCCTCGGCGGGAGCGCCACCGCACTTCCCGAGTGGCGCACTATAGCAGTGCGCCACCGGGCCGGCCCCTAAAATAGCATTTTGTTAATCAGCGAGAGGGTCAGTCAGAGAAAGAAGAGCCTAGTGAAGCAGTCTAAAACAGAGCCAGGACACAGGAGGAGTCATAAGAGGGTTGAGTCTCATGGGAGCCAGTGGGTGGAGAGGGCAAGGCTTTGCAGACAAGGTGCATTTGGCAGCAGATTAAAATTCAGGGCCTCTTCAAAACTTACTCCAGAGGTTTCTGATTAAGCATGAGGTGGTGTCCTTTCCCATGATGCATGTTAGGATGATGAGCAGTTCTGGTGCCCTTTGTTTAAAAATGTCTGTGACACATCCAGTTTGAGAAATCTCATTTCTTCCTCCTAGATTGTTCTAAATATGATTTATTAGACTAGAGATCCAGATACATTGTGTTACTGGGCACTGTCTGACTTTTATTGTGCGTGCTCAGTCCCGTGGAAGGTCTCTCTCCACTGGCTTGAGTCAGAATAATATTGTTGAGACTTTAGCACTAAGTACAGTTGTTAGAATAATTTTCTAAAATATATCTCCTAATAATACTATTTGCTATTGTACAGATAAAGCTGCCTTACAATTTTCATTTTAATAAGATACTTCCAAATTTACCATAGTCTCTTTTTTTTTTTTGGCTTTTTTGTTTAAGAACAGGAACTGTATTTAACAAACAGTCGGGTAAAACTAAGTTGAATACAAATGTTATCGTTCAACAGCACAACTCCGGCTTTGTGCTTGAGTCCCACTTTACCATTTACCAACCAGTCATTTAATTTCTCAACCTCAGTTTCTTCATCTGTAAAGTGGAGATAATAATGTCATCTCACAGAATTTCAAGGATCAAAGGAATGGTAGGGAACTCCTTTCAAGGTCTGGACCACCAAATTTCTTGGCTATGGAGAAGCAAAGCACTTAAGAGAAAGCTCATTTTGGAGTCCAGAGTGCTAAACAAATAGCTGTAGGGTTGTTAAGGTCAAGACTGTTAGAGTTGTTATTGCTTACCTCACTGCCTAGTGACACATTATTTTAGACTCAGAGGGAGTAGGATAGAGTTACCCTCTGTGTTTAGGTATGACAGGAATCCATCACACTCACATTTCCAGAGATATCAGTAGACCTTCTTTCTAGAGCTGTGGATTGAAATTTGGAATTCTTGGAACCCAGATCCAGGTTCATGCAACTCAGAGTCTTATACTCTTGAACTGATGCTGAGGCTAAAGTTCCCCACAGCCTCATGGGACCCCTAAGACCCAGGTCCCTTTGTTCAGCAGACACTTGTGCATGCTCTGTGCCACAATGGAGTGCTCTGCCCCATCAGTGACCGGAGTTCAGGGCCCAGCCTCTCCTTCAAGGCCTGCAGGTCTGACTCCTGCACAGCAATGATGCGAGAGCTGAAGATGGGGTATTGCCACACCTAACTTGCTCACCAGGGTGTCGTGGGATTAATGCCTAAAGCTTCTATAGAGTGTTGTTTCTCCAGAGGAGTGCCCTGATTCAGTCCCACAGCATTACAGCCTTTTCATATCCTTTTTAGTTGAAAAACCTATGTTTGTTTATTTGAGAGACAGTGAGAAACAAGGTTCTCCCCTAGCTCCTGCATAAACCTCTCGTCTCCTCCAGGAAGCCTTCCCTGAGCACTCCTTCATGCCAAGTGGAATGTGAGTAGCATCCCTATGTCTTGCTAACATTGTCGGCGGAGCTGGCTCCTCTTCACATACTTATTGGGAGCGGAAGCCGTGGACCAGAACAGGACCTGATGTAAATTCCTCAACCCTTGCCATGCATCGGCCCACTTGTTTCTCACGACAGCCCTGTGTTCTCCCTTCATCTTTTTAGGGGGAAGAACTGAGGTGCATAGAATTAAGCCACTTGCCCAGGGTGTCATAGCCAGAGGGTTTAAGCCCAAGTCTTCCTCATTCTTGAGCCTGTATTTTTGTCATTAGACCATCCGGCTCCCCTTGGGAGGGCTATCTGGTTCACTTTGCTGTCCCCAGCATCTGCCCCTAAGTGAGCTCAGGCCTCTCTGTTTGACACGATCCCCCTGGGCTCCATCCTATTGAAATGAACATGGGCACCTGCTCTGCCGCTGAGTGGTTGGTTAATTCCAGCAGACATTCTCAGAATGCTCACATTTACTGACTAAAGCCACTGATGTCATCAGGAAGTCCTCCCCACCTCGCTCGCCACTTCCCTATCCACAGCTTATTCACTGTCTAGCTGTTGGAGTTAGACTTCGCTGTATGGAGTAGGGAGAGACCAGGCCTGTCAGTCAGAAGTGGGTGTTCAGAGGGTTGACTTGCTGAGGGGGGGTCATCCCAGCAACTGCCAGGAGTTGCATTTCCATGTCATGGAAGCTGAAGTGATGAAAATGGACTTTTCTAAAGTCATGGAAGAGTTCATATCCTCTTCATCATCTTAGCTGCTTCCTTTCAAACTTAAAGAAATAATTCATTTTGAGACTTCAGAGTTTAGGGGGACAGGCTAGATGTTTCAACTAGCGTAAAACATTTCTCCAGCCTTACACTAATGCAAAGCCAAATCAAAATGATGCAGACCTGGGCCAAATCATCCTGTTCCTCCTTCATGTAATTGCCTTTCTAGAATTATGATTTAACACATGTACCTGACTATATATGGCACATTTCAGTATTTTACAAATAAGTATTTTTCTTAGCATATTATTCATTACATTGATTAATGCCTCTGTAGTATGATGACTCCTTGATCCAAAGATCAGGGCCAGGAAAAACTTTCTCTTTTGTTTTGGACTGTTGGGCTTCCTACTACTAAACAATTTGAAACTCCTGTGATCAACTTTCTTCCCCTTCTGGTTTGTATCTTTTGTTTTGTGTGTGTTGGTTTTGGTCTTAATATCCCTATCTATGCTTTTTGAGAGCTGTCTCAGATCACTGGCCCTAGCTCTGTGTGGGCAGGAACCACATGTTTGTATTTCACAGCTGTGTGCTTAGAACCTAGCACAGGGATAATTACATAGAGGGTCGATGAATGCACAAATGGGTGCATGTATATGTTGGATATATGCAAGATATAAATGGATTGGGGCTTTAATACTTCTGGAAAGAGTGATAATCAGCAGACAAATGATAGTCATAGGATACAATGAAAGGGAATGAACATTATTGAGCACTGTGTTGCCTGTTGCCCTGTGAAATAGAGATTCTCTCCCCATTTTAATTCAAAAGGAACAGAGGCTCAGAAAAGTAAAGCGAATTGCCCGTGGTCTCATAACTAACAAGTAGGTGGTAGAGAAAGAATTCAGACCCAGGCCAGCTTGACTGCATACATTGGGCTTCTACTCTACCAAAGTCTGATCCATGTTGAGAACAAATCAGGTGACTTCACCCAGCCCACTGCCTTCAGAGGAGACCACATCTTTAAGTTCCACCCCTTTCTGGATGACTCACTTGCTGATTTCTTCAGCCACAGCCTTTCCACTGAGTCCCCAGTGGCCCACTCAGTCTCTCTCCTGGGAGGTCTTGGGGGCATTCCACAGGGAACGTACATGGTCAGAACTCTTGATTCCATCCCCCAGCCTATTTTTCCCCATTATTCCCATTGCAATAACGGGCACCACAGTCACACATCTGCTCAGGCCAAACCCTTTGAATGAAGCTCAGCTCTTCTCTTTCCTTCATTCCACATCCGCTGTGTCGGCAAGTCCCATAGGCTCTACATTCAAGTGTGTCCTGAAGCTGATCACTGCCACCACCCCCAGCCAGGCTGCCCTCATCTCTCCCCTGAGCTTCTGCAGGGTTCCCCAAACCACTTTCCCTGCTCCACTCTTGTCACCCTGCCCTGTGTTCTCCATTAAGCAGCCAGAGTAATATGTTCTAAATGTAAACCAAATCATATCCCTTCCCATCTCAAAACCTTCCAGTGTTTTCTCTTCATATTTAAAATACAATCCAAAGCCCCCTCGCCCTCTGGCCTCACCTCCAAGTTCATCTTCCCTGGTCGCTTCAGCCACATGGACGTTGCCTTCACTGCCGGACACCAAGCTGGGCCTCCTGGGCTTGTGCACTCGCTGCTGCCTCAGCCTGGACACACGCACTCTTGGCCCCACACTCTGTTCTCAGCTCTGCTCAAGCTAAGACCTCCTCAGGAGGCTTGCCCTGGCCCCAGCACATCCTCTCTCTTGACCCTGCTTCATTGCCTTTGCAGTATTTAATGCGACCTGAGCTTTCAGTAAGCATTTTTATGGTTACTTTGGGATTGCCTGTATCCCCCATTACAAAGTACTCTCCATGAGGTAGGCACTGCTCACGCATTGCCATGTCCCACGGCACCTGCACAGGGCCTGGCTCAGAAATGTGCTCAGTGAATAAGTGAATGACTGCACAACAGTCCTTATTTTTAACATGTACTCCTTTTTTGGTAAAATGTCTCCATTTAAATACAGTCACGTGCCCTATAACAATGTTTCAGTCAATGACGGACCGCATGTACGACAGTGGTCCCATAAGATTATAATGGCCATACCACATAGCCTAGGTGTGTAGTGGGCTATACTTTCTAGGTTTGTGTAGTACACTCTGTGATGTTCATATGAGGTCTAAATCGCCTAATGACACATTTCTTAGAACATATTCTATCATTAAGTGACACGTGACTACATGTATGTGAAAAGTTTATGCTTAAGGCATTAAAGTGAACTGTCTTGATTTTCTTTCTCCCTCACAGTTGCCCTAAAATTGGCTGTAGCCACACAGATATAAGGAGGTCAGATCTCATCCAGGATGAAGCACTCAGAAGGGCGATTGAGAGCCACAATAAGAAAAAACATCGTCAATCCGAGTAGGGAAAAGCCACCTGCCGCAGGGAAGTCAGCAGCTACCTCCTACCCCAGCCATCTGGTGAGAGCAATGCCTAGAAAAGCATTTAGAACCTGGCTGCATAGCTCCCTCTGGGGTAAAACTGGATGGTTTTAAGTGTGATCAAAAGCATTTTTCTAAGTCAAACAACAATGCAAGCAAATTATTTTGTTTATTTTTAAGTGCTCTAAATTGTTAAATAAAACTTTGATTATCTGCCATGTGTCCTGTCTGCATGCCTCCTGCTGTATAAATTGTTTCAAAGGTGCAGGCTTTTCTATTTCTAATACTTTGGGCTGATTTTTATAATAGTTTTAACTAAAGAATGCCTTTCAGGTAATATTTGCAATGAAAACATATAGAAACATCCCAATTGCAAAGCATTTTCTATCAGTATAGTAAATAATAGCCTTAGTAAACCAGTTTACTTTCTTATATTTACTTTGTATATGGACAGTTCCAAATATGTAAACGATTTTATTTGTCATTCTGAATGGCATAGAATGCTCCAGTAGCAGGTTTATCATGCAATGATAATTGATGCCCATAACAGAAGCTTTGCTGCATCCCTCCAAGAGCCTAAAGTATCATCTGAAACATCCGCATCCTGGCTGCTCTCTGCCTTGCTGGATGGCTCTCCGCAAATGACTTCATCCCCCTGGGCCTTGGTGTCTTCAGCCGTAAAGTAAAGGTGTTGAAGGAGATGCTCTCTAATGTCCTTTCAACCCCGAGTCAGTGGACTTATGACCAGCAGGGTCTTTAAACTGAATATTATCAGTTATAATATCAGTTATACTATCTTCTAACTATGTGGAGAGTGCTAATCTAGTGTCTCCCATAGCAACATTTTATCAAGTAGACTACTTAATTAAACCAAATGAAGCATACCCTGACTACGCGGGGAAACCAATAATAGCTAGTAATGGCTAACATTTATTGAGTACTTACTGTGTACCAGATGCTATTCTAAGAGCTTTACATATCTATTAAATCCTATAATCTTCACAGCTTGGTAAGAAAGTACAGTTATTATTCCCACTTTACAGATAAGGAAAACGAGGCAGAGTAGTTAAATAACCCATGAAAGTCACAGATCTAGTAAGTGGCTGAGCTGGGACCAGAACTTGGGTGGCCTGGTCCTAGGGACTCAGTCTTTTCTTACCTTTTTCTGTAGTTATGATTTTATTATTATTATTATTACTATTATTAATTGACATAATAATTGTACATATTTAAGTGGCACAGTATTAAATTTCAAGACATACATATAATGCTTAATGATCAAATCAGGGTGATTAGCATATCCATCATCTCAAACATTTATCATTTCTTTGTGTTGGGAACATTCAGAATCCTCTCTTCTAAGGGCCGACCCGTGGCTCACTTTGGAGAGCATGGTGCTGGCAACACCAAGTCAAGGGTTAAGGTCCCCTTACCGGTCACCTTAAAAAAAAAAAAAGAATCCTCTCTTCTAGCTATTAGAAGTTATACAATAAATTGTTAATTATAGTCACCCTATAGTGCTATAGAGCACTAGAACTTATTCCTCCCATCTAGCTGTAATTTTATATCCGCTAATTAACCTTAGGGTCTCGATTTAGTCCCAGGCTCCCTACTGATTTGTTTAGAATCTAAAAATATATTCAAAGCCCACACTTAGAAACCAAAGCTTTTGTAAATAAACAAGTGCATGCATGTGCGTATGTGTGTGTATATGTGTGTGCAAAAAAGGTCTAATTTAAATGCAGGAAATAACTGGATTTGACATGTACCAGGCAATAAAGAGCATGAAATGATAACATATATTTGAGTTTAAAAGGATAGTGTAATACAGCAGAATTAACTTTGAAAGCTTTTTCCTGGAATTCAGAAAGTATGACATTCAGTTGTCTCCAAACTCAGCGATTTCAAATTTCCTAAGTTGCTTTATCTGAATCAGACTTTCCTGAGGAAATGATTATGTTTAAGCCAGAACAAACATACTTTTCCTGGGATGTGATTCTTTTGTGAAATACTTTGTTTCCTAAACAGATAGGGACAAGCAAGAAATGCTTGCTCAAGATTCGACTGCATTTTTCTCAGCTCTTTCTAAAGAGAATTCTGGAATATTGGCTCTGATACCAATACCAGTTTTTAAAAATGCAAAATAACACCATTCCACTGAAGAAAAGATATGGTATTTGTATTGTAAAGTTTTTTTCCTTCTTTAGTCTTCAGAAATTGTTTTATACATTTGCCTAGCCAGTTATATAGAATTTAAAGTAGTATATAAAGTTTATTTTTATATTGAAGGTTTATCACTTGGTTATTATTATCAGTCTGGCATATTTATTAAATTTCTGTTACATGAGTTTTCAAAAAAAGTGGCATCTTGTGCCCATGCTGGAGCAGAGCAGTGAGTGCAGAAGCAGCACTCTGACCAGGAGGCTTTTTGTCCCGGGGCCATAGAGGTCACATGTTTGATCAGCCACCTGCATTTCAATCCAGTCTTTCATGCATTAGCATAGCTGCCTGACTCTCCCTTTCCTATGTCTTTCAATTCTCTCTGGAAACACTCCACCAAATCTAGACCCTCCCTTCTTGCTTTGGAATTAGACTATTCATCAGCCTTCCAGCTGGTCTCACACTAATCTTGTCCCTCCCGTATTAATCCACTAGAACACTGATTGGGTAATTTGACATCTTACTGCAAACCCTCCCTTTCCTGCAGAATGAAGTCCAGGCCTGGCATTCAGGATTCTACCACAGACGAGCCTCCTTCTCTCCCTCCAAGGCTGCCCCATCTTCCCAACATTCCAGCTCCCCCTCTCTTTGTGGCAGTATTTCTTCCAGCAGGGCAGCTAACCCTCAGTACTCCTGACTAGGAAGTGTCAGTGACCTCAAGCCAATCTCTTCACTGCTCCAGGCCGCAAGTTTGCCATATAAACTAAAAGATGGAGACCTCTCCCTAAGGTTTCTTTAAAAGCTCTAAGATTACATGTCATATTTTCAATGAATAGGTCCTCTGGGAAGTATACAGCCCTTTTGAAGGAAAGCAGGCTGAAATGGAAATTAGTATATATTTGAACCAAATGTGTACATTGAATCTTCAACTGTTTATTCAACAAATATTTTTAGGCCAACTTTATGCCATGTTTTGTGGTAGTCTCAGGGTACAAAAATTCCCCCTCTGAAGACCTTGTCTAGTTGGGCAGACAGACGTAAAAAACTAAATTCCATAAAAGGTTGTGTGAGTGCTGTGCATAGGGGACAGTAACACAAAGAAAATAAATACAGGAAAATGATTGAGTAGACAAAAATTATGTTTTAGTAGATCAGGTAACAAGGTTCAAAACAAATAATAAAAAGTCAGTGAAAGCTCTGACTGGGAGATGGGATGGGGTGTTGAATCTTGAGGGTGGATCACCCAGCTGCATGGAAATCGGTTATGTTTTGGAAATGTGCCTTCAAGCTTATGCCAGATTTGTGGAGGGGGGATAACAATTCTGAAAAGAAGTCAGATAAAACTGAGGGGGTACAGGGACCCTCATACATTGCTTGTGGAAATGCAAATCACAGCCACGTTGAAATCAGTTTGGCTTTTTAAAAAAATGTTAAACATAAAACTTACCACACAACCCAGTAATTCCACTCCTAGGTGTGTCTACCCAAGAGAAGTAGAAACATATGTTCATACAAAGACTTGTGTATAAATATTCATAACAGCATGACTTATAAGAGCAAAAAAATTTTTGGAAACAATCCAAATATCCACCCGGGGAATGGGTAAACAGTATGTGGTGAATCCATACAATGGAATACTATTTGGCAATAAAAAGTAATAAAGTACTTTTAAAAAACCTCTCTCATGTGCATGTTGTGTGTGGAGAAAATGGAAGATCTCTCTTAGCAAATTTTGAGTATATAATGCATTATTATTAACTATAGTCACCGTGCTGTTCAGTGGGTCTTCAGAACTTATGCATCTCATAACTGAAAGCATGTACCCTTTGACTCAGCATCTCCTCATTTCCCCCACCCTGACCTCTGGTAACCCCCCTCCTACTCTCTGTTTCTGTGAGGAGGAATGAAATACTTAGTGGTGCACGCTAGAACATAGTTGAACATTGTGCTAGGTGAGAGAAACCAGTCACAAAGATCATGTACATATTAACCCACATATATGAAGTGCCCAGAAAAGACACATCTACAGGGACAGAAAGAGTAGTGGTGGCCCAGCCTAGGGGGTGGCAATGGGGACCACTTTGGGGTGAGGGAAATGGAAACTGGATTGTGGTGAAGGTTGCATGACTCTGAATTTACCAAAACTCATTGAATCCAGTACTTAAAAGAGGTGAATTTTATGTTATATAAATGATACAAGCAAAGAAACCAAAGGGGGGATTGCTTTACAGGACAGGGAGGAGACAGCTTTCCTCACTGTCACATTAGAAAAGAGTGGGAGCTGTGAGCTATCAGTGGCCCAAATTTTAGCTGGTTGTTCTCTGTCAATCTAAGAAGATGTTTTGAATCCTAAGATTAGAGTGAAATAAGAATTCTATTCAAGCCTCAGGAAATTCAGGACTAAAAATGTTTTTTTTTTTTTTTTTTTTTTTTTTAAAGATGACCGGTACGGGGATCTTAACCCTTGACTTGGTGTTGTCAGCACCACGCTCAGCCAGTGAGCGAACCGGCCATCCCTATATGGGATCCGAACCCGGGGCCTTGGTGTTATCAGCACCGCACTCTCCCGAGTGAGCCACGGGCCGGCCCTAAAAATGTTTTTTTTTTTAATTCTTAAAGGTTAATGAGAGGACAAGATTAAATGGTGATTGATAATAAAAAACTTAATTTTGCCTATTTCTATTCCTTTGTCTCCTAATTGTATATTTATTATATATGCAGTGATCACTAATAGTAATCAGTAGTTCTAATTAGCTATGTTTATTTTTTTTTTCTAAAAGATGACCGGTAAGGGGATCTTAACCCTTGACTTGGTGTTGTCAGCACCACGCTCACCCAGTGAGCAAACCAGCCATCCCTATATAGGATCCGAACCCGTGGCCTTGGTATTGTCAGCATCGCACTCTACCGAGTGAGCCACGGGCCGGCCTAAGATCACAAACATTTTTAACCAAAGAAAAGAAATTTGGTGGGTATTTTTTAAATGAACAAATACAGAATTGGTTTTAAAACAAAAACAAAAGGCAAATTATAAAAGATATGAAAGAAAGCAACTCAAGGATCATCTTTTGTCATAATCGGAATACAAACCAGAAGTGCAGGGCTTAACCAGAAGTGTTCAGAAAAACCAGTATGCTTCTGGAATGTATGGGAAAAGTTGTCATGCAGAGTTAGGAAGACTCAGGCCATCAGGCTCTGCATGAGGGCCCTGAGCTGAGTTTCAGGCTAGTTATGGTCACCACAGCTCACCAAGAATGTGGAGACACTGATTAGTCTGGAGAACAGCAAAACAAGGCTAGAGATGATGAAACGTGGATACTATGCTGAAAAGAATTGGGATGTTTCTGCCCACAGAGATAAAAATGAGGCTTGTTTTATACAAAATATGGGACTATGTAAGGAATATGCCACAAGGCAATTAACAATAAGTTCCATGAAAGGGCCAATGAAAGGCTCTTTGATACTTGGGAGGAGAAATTACTGTTAGCACCTTAGCACAAAAACTCACACAGGGGTCAATGGATGTACTCCCAGGGAACTGTGGATAAAATTCAGGAGGTTTATAAACTGGTATGTGGGAAAATATTACATCTTTCCTAACCTGTAATTGGAACTTAGCATTTCCTACAATTATGAATGTAGACAATGAACTCCAGTAGAATTAGCAGCACTGATAACTTTATCACCAACAAAAAATTACAGATATTGTCATATTGCATTATTGCTACAAAGATAAACTTGCACTCATCTCTTCTTTTTAAAGTACAGTACTGGGCCGGCCCGTGGCTCACTCGGGAGAGTGCGGTGCTGATAACACCAAGGCCCCGGGTTCGGATCCCATATAGGGATGGCCGGTTCGCTCACTGGCTGAGCGTGGTTCTGACAACACCAAGCCAAGGGTTAAGATCCCCTTACCGGTCATCTTTAAAAAAAATAATAAATAAAAAAATAAAGTACAGTACTTAATATGCTTCTGGTAATTACGGACTAACAGAAATCGAATTTACCTTCTCGCTTTTAACAACTGAAAATATGGACATTTGTGAAATAATAGTGTTCAGGCATTGGACAACAGGCAGCACAGGACATGATCACTAAGAGAATCACAGCTGAGCCTGACAATTGCTCACTGCCTGGCGAGTTCCCGGGCCACCATAGAGAGAGGGACTCAGGTGGAGCCTGGTGGTCTGTCTGCAAGTTAGGAGGCCAAGGAGCTAGAATTCACAGGGCAGCGTACTGGAAAGGAGACAGCTGTCAGAGAATGTGCCCAGGAGACGCAGAGAGGGTTCCCCTACAGTCTCCAGCTGAGTCATCGCTAGCATGTGCCTGGGAGGAAACTACCTGAGGCTGGGAAAGAACCATCCAGACGATAAGAGAAAACAAAAACTGGACCTCACACAGGCCCAAAAAGAGTTTCTTTTCCCGCCAGCCAGAGTGAAAGCCTCATAATTCGTAGGACACCAGGTAGAATGGGGCAAATTTAGCCCTGGACTAAAGGATGCTTTCGTGCTGCTTTAGCAATGCTTAAAGATAAGCCTCAGAAGCAGGGGTAGGCAAACTGTGCGTGAAGAGAAAAACGGAGAATATTCTCAGCTTTGTAGGACATATGGTGTCACCTTCTGTCGTTGTGGCACGGACACAGCCATAGACAATATGTAAATGAATGAGAATGGCTATGTTCCGATAAAACTTTATTTATAGACACTGAATTTTTATTTAATTTAATTTTTTTACATACTTCAAAATTGTATTCTTTGGATATTTTTAACCATTTAAAATTGTAAAAACTATTCTTAGCTCATGAGCCATACAGACACCAATGGGGAGCTGGATTTGGCCTATGGACTGTAGTTTGGTGACCTTTGATCAAAAAGACTGAACTGTCTCTAATTAACTGTGTACCAAAACAATGCTCAAAAATACTTAAAAGAATACAAAAAAAAAAAAAAAATCAGCACCCAATAAAGTCAAATTTATGTCTGGTATCCAATCAAAAAGTTCCACCCATGCAGAGAAGCAGGAAAATATGATCCATAATGAGGAAAAAAATTATGCATTAGAAATAAACACAGAAGGGCTGGCCCGTGGCTCACTTTGGAGAGTGTGGTGCTGATAACAACAAGGCAATGGGTTTGGATCCCTATATAGGGATGGCCGGTTAGCTCACTTGGGGGAGCCTGGTGCTGACAACACCAAGTCAAGGGTTAAGATCCCCTTACCGGTCATCTTTAAAAAAAAAAAAAAAGAAAGAAAGAAACAGATGACACAGATGATAGAGTTAGTAAACAAGGACATTAAAGCAGCTATTAAAAATAGATTCCATATGTCCATAAAGGAGAAGAATGCATGATAAAGTTATGGAGAGACATGGACATAAGAATGACCCAAATTAAATTTCTAGAAACAAAAAATACATCTGCAATGAAAAACACACTGTGTTAACAGCAGATTAGACACTGCAGTAGAAAAGATCAGTGAGTCTGAAGATACAGCAATAGAAACTTCAAACTGAACACAGGAAGGAAAATTAAACAGTGAACAGCATCGATGAACGAAGTGACAACATTAAGCAGTCTAATATACATGTACAGGTTGAGTATTCCTAATCCAAAAATTGAAAATCAGGGCCGGCCCGTGGCTCATTCGGGAGAGTGCGGTGCAGATAACACCAAGGCCCCGGGTTCGGATCCCATATAGGGATGGCCGGTTCGCTCACTGGCTGAGCGTGGTGCTGACAACACCAAGTCAAGGGTTAAGATCCCCTTACCGGTCATCTTTTAGAAAAAAAAAAAAAAAAAGACAAAAATTGAAAATCAGAAATACTGGGCCGGCCCGGTGGCGCACTGGATAGTGCGCCGCTTGGGAAGCGCGGCGGCGCTCCCGTCCGAGGGTTCGGATCCCTCATACAGACCGGCCGCTCACTGGCTGAGCGAGGTGCGGGCGCAGCACCGAGGGTTGCGATCCCGTAGCCGGTCCCGGTCCGGTGCGGGCGCAACACTGAGGGTTGCGATCCC